TAGGGAGAGGATGCAAGCCTCCACTTGGCCCGCACTTCCACTTGCCACTGCCTCAGCCAGATAAGCCAGTGGGTAGAGATAGAGGAGGCAATGGCTTTGGAGGCAAAACGTGCCGCATCCAGGGAGGCTTCTGCGGTGTATTCTAGGGCGGCCTTAATCTTATTATTGTCCCTGTGAGCCCTAGAATCCTGGCTGGAAGACGATCCTGAAGCTCTCTCAGCCACAGGAAAGTGGATCGACTAAAGAAGGAAGCTGAGGTGCCTGCCCTAACAACCCAAGCTGAGGCCTGGTGACCCTTGACCAGAGTTTGCTCTATCCTCTTGTCCTCTGGACATAGGGCTTCCTTTGGACCTGCTGAGGCTGCGTTGGGAGAGGAGAGGGCAATTACCGGCAAATCAATAGAAGGTACTTCTAAGGCCTTGGCAAGGTCAGGATCGACGTTGTACAGATGCTTCTCTGAGGCATTGGGAAGGGTTGCGGTACCTGGAGATGCCCTCTGATTCTGGACAATATCCATGAAGAACTGTGGTGAAGGGATCACCTCTTTTTCCACTGTAGGCTGGATGAAGAGCAGATCGGTGGTGTCAGTCTTGTGTGCTTCTGCAATCTGGGATGCTTTTGGAGCTGGGATGCCTGCAATTTTCTTTGCCTTAAACAGGAGAGAACGAAAGACAGCAGGTTTAAACAAACTGACAAAAGGAGGGGGGGTCAGGTGGAAGACCCTCATCCTCTGAGAGGTCTGAGTCTCTTGCCGGGCACTCATCTTCCCCGAAGACCGACTGTTGGTTGGAAGTGCCAGGTAGTTCGTGTGACGAGGAAGCCGAGAGGTCACCATCCCTGCGCCTGAAACTAGAAGAAGACCTGCGAGAAGCAAAACGGTTAAAAGACCTATGTTTAATGCCTGCCACAATATCACACTCAATGGCCTCGGAAATCATGTCCGCCATGCCTGGTGAATAAGAATGGCGTTGGCCTGAAGAGTAAGAAATATTTCCCTGGTAGAGGGGATCCTCATCAGGAGTGACGCTCCTGTCACAATCCGAATCATCCCCACTATTGGCCAACGTAACTGTGCCTCTAGCGTCCTCGGGCTGCAAGATGGATGCAGCAGGAGAGAGGTCATCCTCTGAATCAGAAGAAAATTCAGGGGAAGGACTAGAATGAACAGGTCTCTGGGCCTGGAGTATGGGAGGTTCAGCATGCTTAGTCTTGGACCTGGACTTCTTAGCTGGAGCCTGAGGGGCCCTGTCTTCCTCCCTAGGGGCTGGTTCCTGCACTTCCCTCTGAACAGGCCTTAGATCCATGTGAGGAGGCTCGGTGTTTTCAGCAGAAGCAGGCCTGCGCCTGCGACGCCTAGGGGCAAGGGCCCCCGGTATCAGGGGCAGAGGCCAAGGGCATAGGAGGCAATTGAGGCTCTGGAGGGGGAGAGGAGGCCATAGCCGTTACTCACAGTTAGTTTGTTGCTTCAAAATGGCCGCCAGAGGTTTTTGCGCCAATTTCAACGGCCACTGAGGCTGTAGAGCCTATGGGCTGGAGCCACGAGGTAGCCGAGGCCTCGTGGTGAGCGTGGCCGGGTTAGGCCCTGTAGTGATGTTTTAAAGACTCACTGCTGTCCTTGGAGCGACAAACTGTGAAGCCCAGGAGCTGGAGAGGTGTTCCCCAGCTGCTGGCGAATTCTTCGTCTCTACCGTATTTTCACCCATATAACCCGCCCACGCGAATAACCCGCAGGTTTTCAAGATCGTGTAAAATATTTTCCGTATACCCCGCCCACTTTTATACCCCACGGGGGGCATGCGGGGTAGGTAAAACGCATATTGCCCGCGGGTTATATGGGTGAAAATACGGTAATTAGGCTTCCCGCTGTGTCTGGAGGCTCCTGCAGGCAGCGGCGGCGATTAGCAGCCAAAGCGGCAAGGCAGCAACCTGGGAGTCCCCTGCTGAGAGGATTAGTCTTCCCTTGGCCATTCCAGCAAGCTCTGCTGAAATCTGATCCCTCAGAAAGCCCGAAGGCTTTTAGAGGCTAACCTCCACGAGGCGCAGCAAAAGTTCTCTAGCCCAGAGGCTTTAGAGAGTTCAACAGGAGCCCAGACTGGAATATCAGTTTAAAGAAACAATTTGCAAGCGAATTTAGAGAAAAGTCAATTAAAAAGCCAATAAATCAATCAATTTTAACCAATTAATCTAGGAGAGAGCGATTTAATACAGCCAGTTCAATTGAACTGAGTCTGAAAAAGCGGGAGCATGCTCCCCAGAGCCGATGACATCACTTTGGTAGACTCAGTTCTATTGGTTACTGACTGAGTTAACCCATGCATGACCGCTGTCTCCACCAACTTAGAAGAAAGAAAGCTCTTTTCCCATCACCTATACTATAGTTTTATAATATGTGAATATATTTTTTCTATTATTGAAATTATTAGAGCTGAGGTGGCGCAGTGGTTAGGGTGCAGTACTGTAGCCACTTCAGCTGACTGCTAGTTCTGCAGCTCGGTGGTTCAAATCTCACCGGCTCAGGGTTGACTCAGCCTTCCATCCTTCCGAGGTGGGTAAAATGAGGACCCAGATTGTGGGGGCAATATGCCGACTCTGTAAACCGCTTAGAGAGGGCTGAAAGCCCTATGAAGCGGTATATAAGTCTAACTGCTATCGCTATTGCTACTTCTAAGTAATACTTTATAGAATGAAAATCTTGGTGAAAGTTGTGCTTTATTTGTTTTTACAAATAGAGCAAATCATAATATATGATATTAAATGCTGCATTAAATCAAATTAGCAAGTCATAGCTATGGATTTTAAAATTATATGAGCATCTTTTATTTAGTCTTATATATAAAAATATATTAAAACTAAAAATATTTAAAAATTGCTTACAAGGACCAAATAAGGAATAAGTACTAACTATATAACTTTTTATTATTATAAAGATGCTGCTTGAATATAATATGTCTTAACATTTAGCCATACTATTTTTTTTTACATTAGAACGTGTCAAGGTCCCAGAAGAAGTAAAATTCCCTAATTCTTGTTGTGTGGGTCTGACATCCCATGCTGTCCTTAGCATTTTTAATCCATCTGAACGATGGCTACAAGTCAATATTTGCCTCCTTAGTATTATGCTTGATGGTGAAAAGGTATGTAATAAAAATTGTATATTCTTTAAAAAAATAGTATAAAAAAGGTGGGTAATTTTTATGTGCTCGGGAATTGAGCAAAAATACAATTAGAAATGGAGCTACAGCCTCTATGGTAGCCTCAGGAAGATTTCTTAACTTGAAATCTCAGCATGTCATTGTGAAATTATATCAGTTTCATCTTCTATATATCCTATTCCCAACTATTGGTTATAATTCTTTGTCAAACATCTCTGTGATATTTATAACGAAGCTTTTATGTTTTTCCTGTTCAAAATATAGGCCAATATAACATTTAGGCCAAAAAGCAGAGAAGATATTAATGTGATGAGTACAGTCATACACTTGAAGATTTTAGCTTCTATTTATTTCTCTATAACATATATCTCATAATTATATTGAAAATTGTTTGTCATCCTATGTGCTTTTTTTCGTTATAGGTGGACCCTTTGAAACACAGATGTCTGCTATTTAAGAGCAAAGCACTCATAGGACCTTGTGCTACAGAAGAACTAAAAATGCTCTTTTTACCCTGTCAAGCTGGAGTATTCCAGTGTGTACTTAATATTGCCTCTTGGCCATTTTCTGCAGATCCAGATATTGTCGTTCAGGCAGAGGCTTTAGGATCTAGGGTAGTTGTGAATGCAGTTGCTGAAAATCCCGATATAGAGGTAAAAATTAGGATATAGAGATATCTAGTTTGCATTATTTACAATAATGCATTACAATAATTTATGGCATATTTAAAAAAAAAACAGTACTAATATTGGTCTACGGATTGAAGTTAGTAAAGCAATTAGTTATTTTTTCTCTGAACAAATGGGCGTATAAAAATTGAAGCTCTTTTGGGTTAAGTCAGCATATCATATTTTTTGACACATATGTTAGCTTGAAGGGTTAATTGAATGAAGATGCGTGGTAACAACTCTGCAAAAGTGGTCTTTTTTTTGTCCCCACCCCCAATTCTTTTTTTTTTTTTTTTTTAGGTGGAAGCAGGAAGAACAAATTCTCTTGATTTTGGTGATTTGCCATATGGCAGCTGGAAAGCGCTCCCATTGAAATTAACTAATAAAACTTGTGCTAGAATGCCAATCAGGCTTGTTATTCATGCAGTAAGTACACTCTATATCTGCACAATATTTGTCCCTTTTTGGGGATTCTGAAACTACTGACTGCTAGACTAGGTTCACTGTTGTCTTTTTAGAAAATTATGTGGCAAATCATGGATGAAATTACAAACAATGTCCACTTTACTTTGTTACAAAATGAGCAAAGCCCAATTGGTAGTAGCTGGATTATCTTTCCAAAGCCTTTATTGCTATTCTACCAAGTGCTAGTCTGCAACGTACAAATTGCTAGTTCCTTTACTGTTAATAATCAGTCTGAAAAGACAAAGGCTATTTACCATTTCATTATCTTCACCGTCAGTTCTAAGGCTAGTTGTTGTATTTATTGTCATTGATTTAATCTTTATACTTAATCAGATTCCTCTTTTTTCATTATACTGCTTTCATTACTAGTGCTTACAGATCATTTGTATTTTTGAGAACAAGAGCAGTATCATCTGCATAGTATTATTGAAGTTTCTTCCTCCAATTTTAAAGCTATGCTCATCTTCCAATCTAGCTTTTCAAGACACATGTATACTTTAAACTGAAGCTTTTTTTTAGAAAGTTAGTGCTAATAATCATTGGCCCCCTTTTTAAAGGGGCTAGTATAGGTTTCAAAATTTCCAATGATAAAAAATAGGCATTTGGTAACACAGATTATCACAAAAAGATTTCCATTGATAAAAGTTAAAACAGTGGACTGTAAAAGAGTTAATAGTGAACATGAATAAAGCCTTGTGTCTAATACAGTATGTACAATATTTATTTCAGAATGCTGTAGCATGGCGTTGTTTCACATTTTCCAAGGAACCAGTAAATTCATCTCTTAAAAGTGCAGTTCCCTCTTATAACATTTCTCAACTAGCAGCTCCATCTGTTATATCTCATGTAATGAATGCAAGCTGTGATACACAAGTAAGTAGCTTGAGACTAGAATACTGTTATACATTTGTATAAAAGTGTAACTTGTTAACCACAGAAAAAAAATGTTATGTTAAACTATGGCAACATTATTTTATTGACCACATGCCAAAATTGTCCTACTTGGAAGTACAAATTTGATTTAATAGTATACCTTAAATAAATAGGCCTGGTTGTGTCTTAGGAGGTTGTATATTAAAAAAAAGAATATTTGTACTTTCTATATTCTCACTGTGTATATAGTTTAAGATTATAAAAATGTCTTATATCATTGCCTAGTTTTTTACAAACATGGTTCTATATAAGATTATGTAGCTCACTGAGGTCTTAACTTTTATCAAATGCTTTTAAAAATTGTACTTTTTGTGTAATGCTTAATTCTATATCAGTAACTTTCTTTCCAGGATCCTGATGTTTTAATAATATGGGTCCTATTTCATGCACCAAGCAAGTGCACATATTCAGGTACAGATTTGCTATATTCTAAAATAAATTATGCTAAAAATCCTGTGGCTAGGTTTAACTGAACAAAAATCTGTTTTTTAAAAAATGTTTGACCAACCTAATATGAAAATTCCAACACGTTCATACAATGCATCATTTATGGGGAAGGGATGTATTTTAAGCTCAAATTTATGTAACTGATATAGTTACTGCTTTTCGGGAGGGAGCAAGGTTTGAATGCTATTTTACTCTATGAAGTAGAAAGCAGAGACTGATTGCTCCCTGCACAGAGAAAAAAAGCACTTTCCTTATGCACAAAAGGACTTGGAACTAATATAAGTAGCCCTTGACTTACAATAGTTCACTTAGTGACCGTTCAAAGTTACAACAGCACTGAAAAAAGGGACTTATGATGATTTTTCATACATACAACCATTGCAGCATCCCCATGGTCATGTGATCAAAATTTGGATGCTTGGCAACTGATTCATATTTATGATGACTGCAGTATCCTGGGGTCATGTGATCAGCTTTTGCAAACATTCGACAAGCACACTGAATGGGGAGTCAGACACTGAGTGGGGTTGTGGCTGAGAATCATGGTGATTGGTGCTGGTGATTAGGGGTATCATCTGGGTAATTGGGTGGATTTGTGGGGGGAACTGGGCAGGGTAATGGTATATATACAGTGATGGGGTGCTGGTTATTACGTAGTTTCTTACCTAGAAATGTTTTTCACCAAACAAACTGACTTTCTGTTTATTTTCAACTTGAACGTTGGAACGTGACAGTAACAGCCAGATTACTAATCTAACAACTGCAATGATTAATAAAAAAAATCACTGTGAAACAATTATATGATAAAACCTCTATTATTGAATTTAAGTTAAAAAGTATCCATAATTTTAAACAATTGAAAAGCAACTTTTAAAAAACTTATGCTAATGATAAAACAAAGCAAGAGTAATAAGCAAAAACCTTAAATCATAAATGAATGGAAGCAAACATATCTGAAAGGAGTAAAAATAAAACAAAACTTGAAAGGTTGCCAAATATGCTCCTTTAATAAACAATTTCAATAAAAGGAGAACTCCATAGAAAAACCATATCTGCTCTCTTGTAAACAAGATACATGACAGCACCTCAGGAATCTACCCAGATTTGATAATTCTTTCTATGGCCTATTGTACCTATAACAGAGAGGCATGGTTCAAACTAAGCACATGTCCATATCCAATACTTTTATTCAGAGATTCGCTATATTAATGATTATTGGGATTTCTATGCCACTTCATTCCATGTCAGTGCTAATCTGATTAGGAAAATACATTAAATACAATGGAAAAAAAAGATACAAAAAGAGTGCTTTCAGAATAGCCAGGTTTTTACAGTCCTGCAAAGACTCAGGAAGAAAGTGGTAGTCCAGATGTGTGAGGAGAGCGGTTTCATAGAAGGGAGCCACAGGAACATATTCATTTAGGTGTTATGGGATGGGGGGGGGGGATGAGTATCCCATAACCTCATCCTTTGTTGTCAGTTTAATGCTATCCTGTTTGAAAGCAATACCATATAAACAAATATAAATGATATTCTAAATAGCGTCAAATGGTATCTTTTTGATATATGATTATACGATGAACTATTTGAGGACAAAGCTGAGAATAAGAAAGGAGATTTTATGCTTGATTTTTTTCAGATTCTTTGGGACCAGCTGATGAGTACTTTGCAAGAATTGATGTGGAAATTGATTGTACGGAGCCTGGTAATGTTTTAAAAAGTATACCTTTGAGTGCAAGGTCTGGAACCCCTAGGATATATGCTCCTAAAGGCCTACAGGTATTCTGTAAAATCATTTTACAAAATGTAGACTATTTCTGTATTTGTTTTCTAATAGTAATGTATAAACTTTTTTCCCCCAGACATTATATATGTGTGCAAAAATAGGATCATCAACAAAACAGCAGTTGCCATTAAAGAATGCTGGGAATATAAAAGTTAATTTGAAGATTGTGGTAGGTTTTTTAATTTTTATTCCTGAGAACTAATTTAAAAATGTCAACAATAAGGCAGGTGGTGAATGAGATTAAGATAATTTGTATTGTATTAAATAGACTCTATTATAAGAATTTATTTGGTTCCATGAGTTTTTGAAGACAAATTATATAACAAAGCAATAATCAAAACGTGTGGTTAATTTGATAAATTAAAACAATTTTAAACCTATTCTATTGTGCCACTTTTTACAATTTTTATTTAAAATTTTAGCAACTATAAAAACTAATGCAAAAAATAGAGCAGAGAAAATGAAAAGGGGAGATATAAAAGAAAAAGCTAAAAGTACAGTAAGGAAAAAGGAGAAAGTAGAAAAAAGAGAAAAGTTTTTACTTATCTTTTTAGATATAAAGAAGTTGCTTCCAATATTCTTCACTGTAGTTATAAATACAATTAGATTTTAATATTTCTCTCTAAAGAATTTTGCTCTTTTCTAGACAGTTGAGCCAGATAACTGTATATCTATTAATCCTGAGGATCTGATTCTTATACCTGGAGAAGAACAAGAAGTAACTGTTGAATTTTCTCCAAAGAACTGTAAAAATTCAGATAGGTAATATAGCATATTTTTTAAAATAATGATATTAAATAACTACTATTTTTCTATTCCATCTAACAATAATTTTGTTTTAATAGTGTTGTGAAAATAATGGTTTTGCCATCCGGGCCAGAATATAAAGTAACAGTGAAAGGTGATGTGTCAGTGGAAGAGAACAAACCATTGGTACAAAAATGCTCCAATTCAGAAGTTCCTCCGATTCTTGCCAATAAACAACTTTTGATATGGGGAGGTGTGCAGGTTGGCAGAACAATGTAAGTGTCAATAACAATGTAAGCAATGTATGCTGCTTTATTGATTTATAAAGCCTGAGCCACATTTTTAAGGAGCTTGTTTAACTGAGTGATGATAAATGAAACCTTAAAAGTAAGATTTTTCTAACATATATGTGGCTTAAGGGTCTATATTCCTCTGAGAAAATGTCTTGAAATTGCAAGAAAACATTGCTACCAAACATACAACTATCTATTACTCCTGTTAACAGGAGATTCTTAGGTGCTGTTAGTGTTTTTGTGAGAATATTGAAGGAAGTCTCATTTGTGTCCATCTAGCATAGAATATGGTAGTCTGAATCATTGAATTGTTGCTGCTAGCAAGGCTTTGAGTGAAAAATAGTACATTGACCAAACTAACTAGATCAAAATATGCCATATTGGAATATAAAATTCCAATTTATACTCAACAAAAATACAGTTCACACACAAACTAGCTTCTTGCCTGCTATTGCCCTCTCTTCTAGCAATCCCCTTTCCCCCTATTTCATGAACACTGTCTTGTTGATCTCTGTTCAGCATAATTTACACCTCCAAACACATCTTCAAAAAGCAGAAAGCAAAATGTAGAAAAAACATTGAAAAACTGCTCATGTCTTCTGAATCATTCTAATAGTTAAGCAGGATCCCGGAAATTCACGAATGAGGGAAAAATATATTCAGTCTTTGCAAGTTAAGAACCATGTAAAGTTTTAATGAGAAAGCAAAACAACAAAAAATAGTTCTGTAATTGTGATAGTGTTTTTTCTAACTTCAACTCTTTGTCTTGGGGCATTGATCTTTGTACATCTCACCTGATCACGGGGGGAAACTTTCACCCAAAATTGTTGCAGTGATGAAAAAGTAACTATCCTTGCATTTATAACCTTTGCAGTAGCTGAAGTAAGCTGAAGTAAGAACACAAAATAGTTGCGGTTTTATTTAGTGACTGCTTTGTTTAACATCCAAGAAATTTTAACACCACTAAAATTGCTTTGCTCAGTAAGATGAAGAAAATACTAAACGTTGAGTAATTTGTAAAACTTTCTAACATATTTGAGTCTTTATTAAACTGTTCCTTGAATAAATATATGGCCTGCAAGCAAGTGCAGATCAATACATTGCTTACTTAATAGTGAAATACTTGTTTGACAAAGTGATCTACAATTGAAACTTGAAAAATTAGAATATTGTACAAAAGTTCATTTATTTTAGTAATGCAACTTAAAAGGTGAAACTAATATATGAGATAGACTCATTACATACAAAGCAAGATAGTTCAAGCTGTGATTTGTCATAATTCTGATGATTATGGCTTACAGCTCATGAAAACCCCAAATCCACAATCTCAGAAAATTAGAATATTACATGCAATCAATAAAACAAGGATTGTACATAGAACAATATCGGACCTCTGAAAAGTATAAGCATGCATATGTACTCAGTACTTGGTTTGGGCCCCTTTTGCGGCAATTCAACTCAATGCAGTGTGGCATGGAAGCTATCAGCTTGTGGCACTGCTGAGGTGTTATGGAAGACCAGGATGCTTCAATAGCGGCCTTCAGC